CCAAACCTGCTGGCATTGAGTCAATTCTAACTCATAGAAACCCTGTATAGGATTCCCAAGACTGTAAAGTTTAACTGGAGCACACAGCTTCCTCTTTCTCCCATAGAGAGTTTGGTGGGTTTAAATCACCAACCTTGAGGTTAGCAGCTACACAGTGCCACCAGGGCTCCTAAACAAGTAACTACTATACCACCCAGTAACCATACTCTTGAGCATTAATCCTGGAGTAAAGAAAACTTAGGTTTACCCCTAAAAATTTTACAGCAACTTTATGACCCAGATATCCTTCAATGGATGAATGGTTGATTAAACAAACTGTAGTAAATCCATACCATAGAATATTATTCAGCAATGAAATGGAATAAACTATTGATATACATAATAATTTGTATAAATCTCAGAGTAAAAAACAAAGCCAACTGAAAAAGGCTATATACTGGGTTTTCTAGAGAACCAAAACCAATTAAACATAAATATAAATCTATCTATCTATCTATCTATCTATCTACATATATATACATTTATATATTTATGTTTTACTGGTTTAATTATGTTTAATGTATGGTCCCAGGTCCCCAACAGAAGAGAAAGAGAGAGTCCCTCCGAGTGTACATTATATTGGGAGCAAACCACACCCCAAGGAACCAAGGAAGTCTCCCTTTATTTGATTGGCTGCTCATAGCCACTCATCATAGAGGTAACAATGCCTGTATTAGGTTTCATTCCAACTGCTAAGGAGCTCTGGTAGCGTAGTGGTTATGAATCGGGCTGCTAATCTCATGGTCAGCAGTTTGAAACTACCAGCTGTTCCGTGGGAGAAAGAAAGATGAGGCTTTCTGCTTCCAAAACCCTGTACAGGGTCGCTATGAGTTAGAACCAACTCCAAGACACATAACAACAACATTCCAACTGCTTAACCTTTGGAAATCCTGGCCTAATAAAGTTGACACAAAACCCTAACTATTACAACAACTTTCATGAACGTTATAGAAATTATAGAAGTAAAGGCCAGTGTAGGATGCCCACCCAGTCAGTTCTGACTCACCATTGTGCCACTAGGCCTCTTTAACCCTACTCTACCTAGGACTCTGCAAACAGATGCAGGGTGGGGGGCCCTGGCATTTTCAAGGCGTGAGGATCTTCCCTTTTCTTTCTTTATGGCAGGAAAGAAGTAATCAACTGAGACTGCTTCCCATTTCAAACTGAAAACAATATGGTCACAAGTCTTCCCACTCTTCCATCCCCACAGCTCTGAGTCCTTCAGGGTTGGGGGTCTTGGTCCCTAAAGAGGCCAAGTCACCAGGAAGCCCAGCAAAGGGCCCAGTGAACTGCACACTATGACTGCAGGTAAGGCACTTTAGGGTCTTTGTGTCTGAGAACTGGAAAGGAAGACAAGAGGAGACTATCTTGTTGGGGTAATCAACCTGACCAGCAGATAGGGCCGCTTTCACACTATGGGTGCCACTCAGGTGACCCACTTGGGTACCTCTTGGTACCTCTTTCTAGTTTTGTCTGTGAACATACAAGCACAAGCAACCCTAACTTGGAAAGGGAATAGTTACCAAAAGGTTCAGCCCCCTCATGAGGATGCAGATCCTGCTGTCTCAGGTGGGCCACCGAGACTGGGGAAGAGGGAGTAGAGGGCCAAAGGGAGGACTTAGGGTGGAGAGTGGAGGAGGAAGATGATCTGCTGTAGTCCTGAAGCCCATCACAGCGCAGGGACAGTACTTGGTCACACTGACTGTCCTCTTCCATGTGTGCCCTCTGGGTCTTGCTGTATCACCACACAAGGTCCCAAAGCTGAGGCCAACCCTGAAGAACTGACAACTGAAGGCTCTTGGAAGGTGGACAGCTTGTCCTGAAAGGAGATGGAATGATGGGTACCAGCATCTCCATGCCTACCACGTGTGCCTGTTGTCCTCAGGGCAGAGACAGCCGCAGGGGAGCGAGTCCAACAGTGAGAAGCACATTTCAAGGCTCTGCGCCATTCCTCTCTGCTGAGGTCCCATGTCATGTAGCATGCCTCCAAAGGTACGTGTCGAGGAGGTAACTACTCCAGGAGGCTTTGGCAGGGCTGGGAATCACCAGGTGCGACCAATAATTGCGACCCCACATAGTTTACTACCTTAAAGGCCCTTTGTAGCCCTCGGAGCGCTGGTCACACTAGTTATACAGCCCACTTGTCCAGGTGGATGGGGGACACCAGGGCACAGGGTACCCCAGATACTCCTCAGAAACCAATGACCTGCCTAAAAAGCACAAATTGGGCTGTCTTACTGTGCTCACCATGTGGGAATCCCACCTCCAGTTCTGGGATCCAAAGGGTCACCTGAAATCCAAAGTACCCACTTCCTCATCCTCCTAAAGCCCCAAGCAGGTGCTCCATGCCCTGGGCACATGTCGGCTGGTGGAGCGTTGTCTGCTGAGCTAGGATGATGAGCTGCCGACTGCATCTGGGTCTTCGGGGAAACCAGGCACCAAGCACTTAGCACTGGAGCGGGGCCATTCTCTGGACACTCCCCTCTTCTGCCTCCTGGCAGGGCTGAGAGCTCCGACTTTTTCCACCAGCTCCTCCTGCCGGGAGCAGTGCAAGCCTGCCAGGATGGAGGCAGTCAGGTCAAGTCAGCCTGAGAAATGCTGCCCTGAAGTCCTGGGCAAGCTCTTACCTTGCTTCTGCTTCCTCTTCTCACTGGTGACCTACGCGCTGGTGGGAGCCGCCCTCTTCTCCGTCATTGAGGGGGGCCAGGACCTGGAGGCAGATGACCAGGAGTTTGAGAGGTTCTTGGAGAACCTCTGCAACATCTTGAAATGCAACAGAACAGGTGAGTGGCTCCCCTGATCAGAGTGGACCTGGTAGGTGGAGATACTCCCCACTTCTGAGTAACCTTAGGCAAATGACTTCATCTCTCTGAACCTCAGCTTTCTTCTCTGTAAAATGGGGAGAGTAAGAGCCTGTCAGGGCTGCTGTGAAGTGTTGAGAGAATCTAGGCACAGCACCGAGCACTCAGTGTGGGCTCTGGAAGGCCCAGCTCCCCTCCTTGGACCTCATCTCCAGCCCCACCCAGCTCAGCAGGCTTCGTTGCCGGGATTGGGTGGAGTGGGCTAGATGGGAAGCAGTTTTGGGGTTAGGGCTCTTAAACAGGTGCGGCAGGAGACTAGATTTCAAGGCACAGTCCAAGCTGAGCTTGGATCCCAAGACAAGCAGCTTGCCCTCTTTATTCTCCCATTTCTTGTTCCAAAAGCGTTTCCTGTTGTCAGATTGGGGGAGTAAAAGGGGCTTGGTAAGAAGGAACTTGGGGACCTGGTTCTCTTCCTGGCTGTTTAGTGATTTGGGATAGCATCCTTGCCCTCTCTGAGTCTCAGTCTGCAGGAGAGAAGGGGGACCCTCAGCTGTGGTCTGCCAGTCAGGGGGTCCCTGCAGGAAACAGATGAGACCGTGACCACACAAAGTGAGAGGTACTTTCTTTATGTCTTCACCGCACTTCATGGGGCCTGTCTTGCATTCTGTCTGTATTTAGTCACTAATTCCTCCTCTGCCTCCAGAGGAAACTTGTAAAGGTGTATTTGACACAACCAGCAGGAGAAGAGGGTCCGGGAAGCCCCCCCAACACCCGTCACACACACCATGCTGTGTAGAACACTATGGTGAGTCCTCTGTGTGACGGGTCTCAGAAAGATGGACCATCAGGGTGGTGATCCTCAAGGTGACATGTCCTCAGGGGAGCAGTCTTCAGGCAAGTGGGCCATCCATGTGGCGGACCCTCAGTAACACTGCTCACAGCTCTTCCCACAGGCTGGACCTGGCTTTGTGAGCAGGTCCTTTTTCGCGGGGACTAACTAGAGCCAAGTCAAGAGACAGCCTCCCCTCCACGGAGGACACTGCTCCCTCTCTTTACATCTGGGGCGGATGGACACATGCCTAGTTGGCACCAGGGAGATATCATCAACACTGATTTGAACACTCCCAGCCATCACAGGGTCCCAGACTACCAGCCCACTGGGGGCTCTCAAAGACAGGTCACATGTCAGGGTTACCTGGGGAGCTTGTTTACAATACACATTCCCAGGCTCTGTCCCAAACCCACCACATCAGATCTCTGGGGCTCAGCGGGGACTCTCATTTTAAAAATTTCCAAGATGATTCTGATACATAGTGTGGTGTGGGAAACGCAGAGCTGGTTCCACTCCCAATTGGTCCAATTTTTGTTGACGATGATAAAACTCGGTAAATGTGGCTCAGTACAGGCCTGGAAGAAGACTTTCCAAGTGTGATCTTGCTTAATCCTCAAGGTGGGTCTGAATGGGTGCCCACCTTTGACAGATCAAGAAACTGAGACTTGGGAAAGTTAAACAACTAGACAATGGAGCCAGGGAGTCACCCCCATACTCTGAAATGTGGATTTCAGGGCCCAAGTTTATAACCACTTTATCCTGCTGTCTCCCTGATTGGAAACATGGTCAGAAAGCAACCTTTTCTCCATGGCTGGGACCAGTCATGGTCCCATGATGCTTGGTAAAGTGGAAGGTCAGCAAAAGAGAGGAAGCCCCCAACGAGATGGATTGGCACAGTGACAGCAGCAATGGGCTCAAGTGTAACAATTGAGGATGGCACAGGACCAGGAAGGGTTTCATTCTGTTGTACATAAGGTTGTTGGGTCAGTTCTGACAACACCTAACAACATAGCCTCAGCTGGTTCAGAGCTGGGACTGTATACAGGTGCCTGAGCTCCCAACCTGGTGCCTTTCAAATGAGTAATGACTTCCTGCTAGGTGCTAGGCTTGACGCCAGCGGCAGGTGGGTGACTTCTAGCACACAAAGTCCACACTGACTGCTCAGCCCAACAGAACCATTAGGAAACCTCTCTAGGAAATGAGGTCCCCAGTCCTGCTCTGTTGGCCTTGGGAGGGATGTCTTGGCAGCTAAGACTTTGGAGTCCTCGAAGGAGCATCCTCAGGTAGCTAGTGTCTGCCTGTCCAAGTCTGATGACCACATTCCACCATATTTAATGATCTGAAGGGGCAGGGACAATTAGCCTGCAAATGACAGCCTGCATGTCATACAAACCATTCAGCTTCCTTTTCTCAAGAACCCCATGAGAGACTCAGAGCTGATTTTATCCTGAAAAGCGAAAGAAGCAGAGATTTGGCAAGAAAGCCCAAGGCTACACAGCAAGCCCCTGGCCATGGAGCCCAGCCCTGTGGGCTGCTCGGTGGGGTCTCTTCTCGTGGGACCAGAGGCAGGACCTCACCTGTAGAGACAGCTTGCAGGAGGGCTGAGAGAACCAAGCTTTGGGGTGGATGAGGTCACAGGATGGGGGCTGCTGGTTGCTCACCCACCTTTGCCTGGGTGGAGCCTGTGTGGAGGGCAGGACACACACCTACTCACTCTGTCTCTTTCTTGAGTCGAGGCGAGCAGCAAGCTGAATCTCCGGAAGCTGCTGCAGCAGGTGAAACCTCATTGGCTGCCCACCTTCTCAGACTGGTCCTTTCTGAGTTCGCTGTTTTTCTGCTGCACTGTGTTCACTACTGTGGGTAAGTGCAAGGACAAGGGCAAGGCCAGGCCTGCCCTGTGGCTTCCACCCCCCCTCCAAACCAGAGGCCTGTGGGAAGCAGAAGGCTGGGGACTTCTTGGTGGGGATGCTGGGTGGTTCTGTCAGGTAACGCAGGAAACAGTGGCAGAGTACCTACTCTGCCAAGCCTACAGTGTGAAGGAAAACACAGTTCCAGCACAGCCACCAGCCACAGGACACCTTTGTGCAAATTAGAAAAGGGTGCTCTGCCTCCAGCTGGGTACAGCTCCATGCCAGAGCATAGTTCTCAATGAACAAGGCTAGATCCATGGCTGAGTGGGCTTGTGTGCTGTACAGACTGTCAACAGTCCCTGGCTGTCCTGCAGGGAACAAAGCAGATACTCCAGGACCTCAGGAGCCCCTGGGCAGGAGAGAAGCCATCAGGTGCAACCGCAGTATGGTCTGTACATGCGCAGGGCATTCTGGGAGCAGAGCAGGGGCAGCTGTGGGCAGATTTTAAAGGTCTTACAGTATGAGCAGGAATCAGCAGGGTAGTGGAAGGTGGGCGTGAAGAGGGTATTGCAGACCACAAGGACAGCAGAACAAAGGTCAACAGTAAGACCAATGTGAGGCATGGTAAGCAGGTTGAGTTGGAGGTGCAGAGAGGTGAGAGGGAGAGGACTGTAAGCAGGTCAAAGGAAGTGGGGAGTGTCTACAGGATGTGAAGCAAGGGAAGGACATCATAGCTCAACATCCCAGAGAGAGCATTTCAGCTGCAGCGTGGGGTGTGGACTAGAGGAGGTCAGATGGAGACAGGAAGACCATCATGGAAGCCCTTGGGCCATCACTTGGCCAGTGAAACAGACTAGGGCCCTTCTTTATTCAATAGAGAAGGTACTGACCCTTAGGACTGCCCATATCTCCTCCCACCTGGAGCAGTTGGGGGAGTCCAGTGGTCAGCTGGGGACTGTGCAGGCCAATACCCGCCAGGTTGGGACACAGCTCCTCTGAGCTTTGTTCCTAGTTCATACTCTCTCCCACATCTGCCTCTCTGAGTCAGCTGAGGACCATCAAGTAAGTGGCAGCTGAACTAACAAAAAACCCAACCCAACTGGCTTAAACCTTGAGGAAAATGTCTTGCCTGACAAGTAAGAAGTTTGGTCAATGGGCCACTCAGCTGTGGTGTGAGATTCAGGTCCAGAGGCAGCAGATGGTCACCATGGTCCTCATCCCATCTGCACACAGACACAGCTAACAAAAAGAAGGCTATCATAAACAGGGAAGCTTGGTCTCCTATCCACCATCAGGCCAGTATGGTCAGGGGTTTGGATTACCTGAGTGGCTACTCAGTCAGGATCTAAGTCTGGGTCAGGGGAGCACAACCAGGGTGCTCTAGAGAAGGAAGGGGTGGGTGGGTGGCTGCTGGGTGAGCCCTCACTGCTTCTGCTGCCACGTGCTTTGAAAACGGACCCATGAGCACTAAGAGAAATCTACCAGGTTTCATTCAGAACGGGTCTCATTCACTAGAATGTTAGTACAGGCGGGGCTATGTCCTGGGCAGAGAAGCTAAGAACAATAGCTGCATGATTGAACTCTCCCTAGAGTTCTCTGCTGACTGGACCCATTCCCACTGCCCCTGATGTAACTGCAGTGATATTGCCTGATACACATTCCCTGACTGGTTCCTCACCAGGGTCCCAGGAGGGAGGTGCTGATAGTGTTCCATTTGACCCCCCGGAGGAAGTCACTGTCAGCAGAACTACCATCATGTCCCCACAGTCCCCTCCACACTTACCTTTTCAGGGGGACTGACAGCTCAGGGGGACAATTTGAGGGGACACCAGTTACAGGGGAGTATAAACTGTAAGGAAGGCACCATGGGGAGGAGAGCTTGGGGTTCAGTTGTCTGAACTTAAAAGGACTGACTTCATGCAGGGTTTCTCAATCTAGGCACTACTGGCATTTTGATCTGGATAATTCTTTCTGTGCATTATAGGATGTTTAATAGCATCCTTGACCTCTACCCACTAAATTCCAGGAGCACCTTTCCCCTAGTTTTAACAAATGTCTCCAGACATTGCCAACTGTCCCTTGGGGAGGGGGAACCTCTGAACTAAGGCAATGGTTGTCAAAGTGTGGTCCCGGGACCAGCAGCATCTGAGAACTTTTTAGAAATGCAAATGAATTCTCAGGCCCCATCCTAGACCTACTGAATCAAAACCTATGGAGGTGGAGCCCGGACCTTGAGGTTTTAATGAGTTCTCCAGGTGTTCTTGGTGATAAAAACGTAAGAAGTTGGATCTAATGTCTCATTCTCAGCATTAGCTGCACTTGGAATTGCATGGACCCTACCCTGGACCTACTATGTAATTTATCAGAATCCTCCAGGTAATTGTAATGGGAGTCCAGGCTGTGAACCACTGATCTAATGGAAATACATTAGCTTAAAGCTTACTTTAAATTCCAAGAAAGCGATACTACTGCCTATCATTTGCATCAATTAGGACACCATGCTGTCCAGTAAAGACAACTGGAGGAGGATGTGGGAGAATGTTCTGCACTTCGGTAATCAATAACAGTTTTGAAGGTCCCTTGGTAACACTACTTCCTGCCCTACATCTCCGGGTCATCTGAAATGTATCAGGACCTGATGCTGAGAAAGAGCTACCTGCCAGGTGTGAGGCAGGCCAATCCCCAGTCAGCCCCACTGCGTCAACCCCTTGCATTAGAAAGGAAGTACATGACTATTAAATACCCACAGGCTAAGTGGAGTGGACTGATCGTATTAGAATCTACCAATACATTATACCAAACGATATGATTTTCCATTATGCATTTCAGCATTCAGTAATTGGAGAGCTAATACAGTTCTTTTGTAGGGGCTGTGTGCCCTCTGAAACTTGCTTCCTTGATATGTTTCCTGGAATGTAGCTTTCTCTTCTGGACTGAAAACATATCTCAGTCAGAGCAGCCACAAAGACCCTCTGCATATAACCCACTTGTCCCTGTTTTGCCAAGGAGAGGATTGGGCAGGGCATGTGCTTGAGGCAAGACCTTCAGACAGGGGGTGTAGACCTTGTCTGCTGTGGACCTTGTGACCCTGGGCAAGTCACTTGACTCCCTGTACCTCCACTCCCTGCCTACTGAATGCAATAACACTGATAGCATGAGGAGTTTGGAGTCCTGGTGTGGCGCTGTAGGATGCGCACTGGACTGCTAACCACAGGTCAGTGGTTCAAACCCACCATCAGCTCCTTGGAAACCCTATACAGGGTCGCTCTGAATTGGAACCAACTCGATGGCACTTACCAACGATGAGGAGTTTTGCTGTGTAAAGCCATGAAGCTTACTCCACAAATTCTGTGTGTAAGAAATGCTTCATTCTTTCCTTTCAGTCAAAATCAATGAGCCTGGAGGCTGGGCGGTTACTACTAGGAGCCTCTCCTGATTTCCATAAGGTTGCTTGGGAACTAGTAGGGGAAACTCGTGCACTGTATGGGAAATGGTTAGCCCCTTGTCTGTGGGCTCTCAAGGCTATTGCTGTTGTTCATAAGGGCTCATGGCTCTGGGGGGCAAATGCCAAGCTTGGGCATGGGAATCTTTGCTGGCATCCAGGGCCTGGGCTCCTCCAGCCTCACGAGGTCCTGCCCCTCCAGGACAAACTCCGTCTCCCTTTTCTTCCTACTTTCAGGGCTAAGGTGACCAGCCTTCCCTGTCTACCCCAGATGCCCCAATTTTAGCATTGAAAGTCCCACATTCCTGGGAATTCCCTGGTTCTGAGCAGCCCCAGTTTGCTGATCATCTTGACCACAACCCATCTCTGTCCCTCCCATCTTTCTTCTCCCTATACTCTGTCAGGAGCTCACCACTGGTTCTGGCCTTTGCTGAAGTCTGGCAGGGAGGCTGTCAAGCCCTCTGGGGAAGCAGAAGGAGAGTTGCAAGCAATACCTTCTTAGCAATTTGTCCTGCACCACCCCACCCCCCACCATAGATGGGAGATGTAACCCCTGGGGTGCCCTAATCCTGAGCTTTGCTGTGTGCAGTGATAGAGGCTTTGCCTCCATCTCACCAGGGGCTTCTGCAAGGCAAGGCTTATTCCTCCCTGTACCCCTAACCTCAGCCCAAGTGTCTGACATAAAGTTGGTGTATGATAAATGGGAAATGAACACATTCATTCAACACCCATTTATTGACGTGCTGGGCACTGTTCTAGGTATTGGGGAGTCCCATGATGGGTGAAGCACATGAAATCCCTGCCCTGTGGAGTGTACCTTGGAAGAGACTGGCCAGGGACAAATGCACACCTTCTCAGGGAAGGGGAAGGGGTGGGATGACAGCTGCGATTTGAAATGGGGTGGGTGGCGAAGATACCCTGAGAAGAACACATTTGAAGAGAATTTTGTAACAAGAGAGGGAGTAACCCGTATGGAGCAAACAGATGAGGCCCTTTGAGGGCCATGCCACCTCCCCCCATGGGACCCTGGTGAGGGTGGATGACTGGGCACCTGCCTGTACCTGGGGGGTGGGACTGGAGTGTGACCCAGGGAGCAGGAGCCCTGAGGAGGTAGAGTTTAGCCCTTCTGGGTGTCATCTTCAAATTCATTTCTCTAATCAGACTGGCCTTTTCCTTTCTGAATGAATTGTTTTGTATGAATCACAGGCATCAAATCCAAAAGCTTAACTCATGGAAGTCATGGGAGTTTGCCCACTTCAGACCACGCTCTGCTTCTGTAGACAGGGGTAGGGTGGGTGAGGAGAGTGAGGGGGTGGGGTGGCAGTGCTCGGAAGGGCCCCTGAAGAGCACAGAAGCTCTCAACCCACCCATACTTTTGCTTGACGGACTGGTCCTCACGGTGGAAGGTTCCATCCTAAGGATGATCCTAACCAAGGGGATTTTGAAAACATTGGTTAGGGTCAGCCCTGTGAGTTCGCATCCCAGCTCTGCTACTGATCGAACGCACGGAGTGGCTGAGTCACTCCATCCCTCTGAGCCTCAGTTTCCCCATCTGTGAGCAATGATGGCAATGTCTACTGATGTAGATTGGCTGATGTCCAGCCCACAGGCTCACAAGACAGCTCTTATCTCTCCAGATAGGATACTATGTGTCCACTACTGGTGTATGTCATCTTCCTGACTGGTCAATATACCATATAGACACTGCCATCCCCATTTTACAGATAAGAAACCTGAACGTGGAACCTGAACAACTATCTTCTAAATACATGGCATTTAGAATACTGGGATTCAAACTGAGGTCCATCAGGGATCCTAACCACTTTACTGTCATCTGTGAACATGTTTGGACCTCTGGTGTGGCACTGTGGATCAGCACTGAACTTCGAACCACAAAGTTGGCAGTTCAAACCCAGCAGCTGCTCCTTGGAAACCCTATCCAGGGTCTCTATGAGTCAGAACTGACTTGATGGCACTTCACAGGAACATGAATGTGCTCATCTCATCTGCTAAAGCACAAGGGACTCTAAGGGCCGCAGTCGTTCTGTCTTTATTCATCGCCCATCTTCCTTTCCGAATACTACGCGTACTGTTGTGCACACCGTTGGCACATAATAAATGCCTATTCTATAAAAACAAATGAAGTGAGAGGCTCAGACCTCCCAGAGGTGAAGTTGTTGTTGTTAAGTGTCATTAAGTCAGTTCCAACCCATAGCGACCCTGTATAGGGCTGCCAAGGAGCAGCTGGTGAACTTGAATCACCAAGTCAGTTCAAACCGACTTAGCAGTTCAGCGCATTAACCCACAGCATCATGCCAGGACTCCAGAGGGGAAGTGGCCAAGGCAAAATGCAGGACAATCAGCTCCTGGCCAAGGACACTGTTGAAGGTCTGGAAATAAGTTGCTACTTGTTCTGAAAAGAAATAGGGCTTCTCGCCATCCCCTAAGCAGCCCTACTGCCAGATAGGTGCATGCACAGTCTAAGATGAATACTGTCAAACACATTGTGTGACATGACATGTTGAAAACAGGAAATGGTAGATGTCCTTTTGGGGGTGGGCAGGGGGTGGGGCAGGGAGGGAAGGTGTGGGGAGGTGACAGTCCAGTTCTGTCCTCTCTTTCAGGTTATGGATACAAGTATCCCATCACCAGGCTGGGCAAGTACTTCTGCATGCTTTACGCACTCTTGGGTATCCCCCTCATGTTCCTGGTCCTCACAGACATGGGCGACATTCTGGCGGCCATCTTATCCATGTCTTACAACAGGTGCCAGAGACTCCTTTTCCAGGAACCTCACCTTCCCAGGTGGTGCCCCCTCCTGCTCTGCAAAGGAAGACCTGATGCCAGGCAGGTAGACGAAGCCACTCCGAAGGTCATCATCACTGCTGAAGAGCTCCCAGACCTCAAACCTGACCGGGGTCCTCCAGCCCCAAAGTGCAATGCAGAGATGTTTGAGCAACTTCTTGCACGAGAGAAGCAGATCATGCTGCAGCTGCCCTCACAAGGCATGGAGAGGAGCACCTCATGTCCTGAGCTGGGGTTAGGGACACTCTCCTGCTCCATCCTCAACAACCTGGATGAGGTGGGACAGCAAGTGGAAAGGCTGGATGTGCCCCTTCCCATCATTGCTTTAGTCATTGTTGTTTACATTTCCTGTGCAGCCGCCATTCTCCCCATTTGGGAGACGCAGATGGACTTTGAGAACGCCTTTTACTTCTGCTTTGTCACACTGACCACCATCGGGTTTGGGGATGTCATCTTGGATCACCCACATTTCTTCATGTTCTTGTCCATTTATATCATCATTGGGATGGAGATTGTGTACATTGCTTTCAAGTTGGTGCAAAACAGGTTGATTCACATCTACAAAAAGCTCATGCTGTTCTTTGCAGAAAGGAAGTTCTACCTCTATTTTAAAAAGTGAAGGAAGGGCTGCTGTCTCTCTTGGATGGACACTGGCCATGTGGGTTTGTGGCACTGTGGTCTGACATCTTGGGCATTGAAAACAAAACCTGTATAAGAACTCATGGGGTCCCCAGGAGTCGGACTCAACTGGACAACAACAAATGACAACAACACACTCTATGCAGATATTTCAATCCTGAAGACTTGCAGATAACCTGACCAATACCCTTCCTCTCAGGACATTACCAAATCCAAACTCAAATCCACTGCCATCAAGTCGATTCAGACTCTTAACGACCCCGTATAGGGCTTCTAATACTGTAAATATTTAGAGAGTCTCATCTTTCTTCCAAGGTAGTCTTGAACTGCTGACCTTACAGTTAGCAGTCTAGTGCTTATTCTATAGCTACTAGGCTCCTTATAAGAATATTTTAGGAAGATGAAAGAAAGAAAATGGTCATCATCCTCTAAAGTCCAATTATTTTCATTTTATTAGTGAAATCTGATGGATGCCACTGCGTTTCCTTGACGCTTGAATAAACCTACCTTTGTTCTTACAATTTGTAGTTCAGCTGAATAGACTCTTCCTAAGTTCTCCCCGTTGACCCTAGATGGAACTCTATGTCCGTTGGGACACAGTACATGCTTATTCTATAGGAACAGATGAACCGAGAGGCACAGATATCCCCAAGAGGACCTTTGCCCCCTTTGGGGCTCATTAAAAGCTGGAACCTTCTGCAGACAATGAAGGGACTTCAGACATGGCCGTGGTGCTGCCTTCGCGCCTTCTCACTGCGCTCATCCTCTTCATGCAGCCCAGCCACGTGCAAACAAATACACAGACATGGCAGTGGGGTGAAAACCCTGCCTCTCTTTCAACTAAGAAGCAACTCATTTCCAGACCCTGGATCCACAGTGTCCTTGGTATGGGGCCAAAGAGTTGGTCTGAGATGACCCTCTTTCCCTGAAAGACCTGCATGAATGTACAAGGCACCAGCCCTACCCCAGCCCCCGCACACAACACTGGGGCCATCAAGCAGAATTGTCGTTTGTGCTCACAGGAGCTGGGGTCTTTTCTGCTGGCCAGATTCTGGGTAGACTACCTTTCTCAGTAATTAGCACGTACCTGAATGAGAGGGCACATGCCACTGATGACCCCTGACTGAATGGACTCAGGGTGGATACACTCCCAAACGAGCTGGTATGTGCACAGACTGGACACGGAGCAGATATTACAGGTGCCCCATCCTGATGCCATAACATGCCAGCTCCCTGTGCTGAGGACTTTCTCTGGTCACTAAAATGTGGGCATGTGCAGGCCAGGCCAGACATCAACACTCCTGGGAGCAACCCTCAACCAATAATTGATGGATCCATTGATTAACTCCTGGGCACTTCCAGCATTCAGGTTCCCAGTGAAACCGAACCTCAGTTGTCCATCTCCCTGGCTAACCCCTCTGCTCCTCTACTGGGGCTTCCTGAGATTACTACCCCCACCTGCCCTGAGAGTCCACGTGCAGTCATATCCTTGTCTTAGGTCCTCCTGGGGACCCCAGCCTGGGGGAAGATACAAAGACATTGGTATATGAACTGGCTGGCAGGTGCCTGGGGAAGCACAAGTCTTATGATTCTACGTTTGGTGATCAGATGTTGCTTCTTTGAAAGAGATTCTTGCCAAAGTTAACCCATGTCCTGTGATTAACGAATTAGTCAGTCCCTGGGCAAATGGAAAACTGTTCTCGGGTTTCCTGTGAAAATGACAAGTACCAGTTATGAAGTGCCGGGAGGTTCCAGTTTGAAAAGAAATGAAACCTCTGCCTTTTGAGGCTTGTGTTTCATCTTAAATTCCATGTTCTACCTTACATGCATGCAAAGGGTCAGATTTCAGGCGTTCTCAGTTTTCCCTTTCTGGATCTTTCTCTCTCTTCATCAATAAGCTTTCTGCCCCTTCAACGCTTCTAACGAATGCTTGACAAGGTGTGATCGAGAGCCCACAAAAGCATGAAGCAGCCACAAGACAAAGGGTTGTATGCAGCGGCCTGGCATTTCTGCAGCCACAGTGACGCAGCTTAGGTGCTGAGAAGCCCAGTGAATTCAAGACTGGCCATGAAGAGAACACGTGACTGGCCTAAGAGAACACGTGACCGGCCTGAAGGCCTATTCAATAAACATTCATTGAGTGCTTGCTGTTTGCCAGGCTTTGACCTATGCTTTGAACCGGGTCATTCTGGTTTGACCCCTTGCTGACAAGGTGCATTTCCACCCTGGTGTGGCGCTGTGGGTTAATGCGCTGGGCTGCAAAGTCAATTTGAACTGCAAGATGGGCAGTTCCAGCTCACCAGCTGCTCCTTGGAAACTCTTACAGGGTTACTATAGGTAGGAACAGACTGGATGGCACTTACCAACACCAACATGCTGGGGTCCTGGTGTGGTGGTGTAGCATAAGCACTGAACTGCTACTCGCAAGGCTGACTGTTCAAACCCACCAATTGCTCTTCAGAAACACTCTATAGGGTCACTGTGAGTTGGAACTGACTCGATGGCACTGAACAAACAAAACCAAACCTACTGAATCAGGGAGCCCTGGGAGTGCTAACGACAAGGTCAGCAGTTCAAACCCACCCACCACTCCTCCGGAGAAAAATAAGGTTTCCATTCCCATAAATATGTGCAGCCTTGAAAACTCTTATTGTTGTTGTTAAGTGTTGTCAAGTCGGTTCCGACCCACAGCGACCCTGTATACGGTTCCCAAGGGGCAACTGGTGAGCTTGAACCACCGACCTTGTCGTTCAAACTGACCTTGAAGTATAGCGCATTAACCCACAGCACCACTCTATACAGGGTCACTAAGAGTCAGAACTGACTCAAAGGCACCTGACTACTACAACAACATACTGAATCAGAATCCACATTGAACAGTATCTGCTGGTACTTTTTATGCATGCATAAGAGCCATGAGAATCACCTGGGGCTCTTGCAACAGTGTAGATTTTGATTCATCCTATCTGGGATGGAAAGGCAAATTCTCAGTGGGGGCGGGGTGGCATGAACTGGGAAGGACTGGTCTGAAGTCCTCTCTAGAACAGATGCAAAGGTTCCTGCATCTCTCAAGCAGTTTGCTCTCGGTCGCTATGGGTCGGGACCAACTCGATGGCACTTAACAACACCAACTAAGCCAAAGCTTGGTGGTTTGAATTCACCCAGCATCACCACACCAGAATGCTCCTTGGAAGCCAGGATGGGGAAACCTTGTGTCTTACACTTTGTTATCAGGAGGGACCAGTCCCTGGAGAAAGACATCATGCTTGGTAAAGTGGAGGGTCAGTGAAAAGGAAGAAGACCCTCCTAATGAGATGGACTGGCACAGTGGCAAAAATAGTGGGTTCAAATGTAACAATAATTGTGAGGCTGGCAAGGGATGGTTGTGTTTCATTCCATGTGCAGAGCGTCACTCTGAGTTGGTACCGACTTAGCCCCTAACAACAAGAAGAAGCATTGTGGGAGAAAGTCCTGGTGATTTGCGTCCCAAAAGCCTATGGGGCAGTTCTCCTCCAACACGAGCAGTCGCCATGACTTGACGAGTGTAGTTTACTGCTTGAGATGAATCAGGAATACACTAGAGAGGTCCTCAGCCCTGATCTTTGTGAAGCAATTCACAAATGGGGTTTGTCACGGATACACGTGGAGTCACCGGAAGCCTGAATTGACTTGATAACAACTGATAATAACAGCACATTATGCAAGTCACGGTTAGTGATCATTTGTTCATCTCATTTCTTAGCTGGCTCCCTGCCACAGTTCGGAGGAAATAGGCCAGCCTGCCTTCCGGCCTGGTTTCTTTCCTACCCACCACCTCCCTCAGGCTGCTTACTCCTTCAGGGCTGCGCAGGATTGAGTCTTCGTGCCTCTTTGTCTTTGCTTGATGGTTCCCAACTTCAGCTGCACACTGACACCTTGGGAGCTTCAAAGCGTTATGTGCCTCTCTCCCACGAGATTTGGGTGCAGTTAGTGGGTCTGGGCTGCCACCAAAGAGCTAGGGTTTATCAAAGGTCCCAGTGATTCTGTTATGGGGCTACAGCTGAGAACTGCCACACTAGCTATTCTCAACCCAAAACGTCCTCTGCTTTCTAGGACGGATGAAGACCTACCTTCCTGTACTCTCAGAAGTAGTTCCCCTGGCTTCCTTCATGCGCCAGGTGCTCCTTATATGCACAGACTATAAGCCCCGCCCTCAATACAGGACTGTACCCAGGTGCTTGCCTTTTGCCTCCTCTCCTAGCCTCGGAGCTGCTAAAATAAAAGGTGTGCCTTCCTCATCAGCCCTGTCCTCTCTCTCTTTCAGACGCCGGCCCCCACCACATAGCATCTGCCACACAAGGGCAGTCTGAGCATAACTTTAAACAAAACCAAACCAAACCCATTGCCACCGAGGCGATTCCAACCCCCAGTGCCCTATATAGAGTTACTCTTTAGGGGAGCAGACAGCCTCATTTTTCTCACACAGAGTGGCTGCTGGTGTTGAACCACTGATCTGTGGTTAGCAGCCCAATGCCTAACCCACTTCATCACCAGGGCTCTTTGGGCAAAACTTGTCATTGCTGTTAAGTACCATCAAGTTGGTCTGACTTTAACAGCGATCTTGTATCACGTTTCTGAGGCCATAAATGTTTGCAGGAGCAGAAAGCCTCAATTTTCTCCTGATGAGCTACTGGTGGGTTCAAACTTCTGACCTTGTAGTTTGTAGTCCAGTGCTTATCCTACAGAGCCACCGC